AGGCCTGCCATTGCTCTTCACAATCTGCCTCTCCTTGCAGAGCTCGCCCTCCCTGGCCATGGAGCTGCTCCGTGGGCAGAGTGGGGTGGCTCAGCCGGCAGCGAGGGCTCTGTGTGGGGGCTTGGTGCAGGCAGAGCTCAGGCTGGAGACAGACGGAGTAGCTGCAGCTGCCTGCAGTTCCCAGGCTGGCTGTGTGCTCTCGGTGCAGGATTTTGGGGGCAGTGTCACTGAAGTACCCGTCCCAGGCTCGTCCGTCTGTGGGGCCCTGCAGGGCTGTACGGGGAGCGCTCGCCCTCCAAACCAGAGGTGAATTGGTGTGTTGGCTGGAGAAGCACTGGCTCAGCCTGCGTGTCCTGCAGCTTTGGCTGAGGAATGGGGGGTGTCCTGTCCTGCTGCCACAGCCAGCCCAGGCTCTCAGTTGTCCCAGAGACACCAGCACCACGCAGCGTTTTGTCCTGACAGTTTTTACCCACCGTGAGTCAGCTTTGGTAGGAGCTGAGGTGTCACTTAGTTACTTAGCACGTGCAGATGTCCAAAACCATGCTCTGCAAGGCAGCACTAAGAGAGGAGGGAGATTCCCTGTGTCAGAGCATCTGTGAGGCCCAGTGCAAGGCAATGGCTCCTGCTGTGTGCAAGCTGGCAGATCCTGATGGCCCTGCTATGGAGCTGGGCTGGGAAACCTCAGTGGCCCAGCTGGGATCAGTGATTCCACACAGACATTCACAGTTGGCAGAGCTGGGAAGAGCACCTGTCTGTCACCCTGGAATGTGCCCCACCGTGTCTGGGATGTGTATGGGTGCTCAGCGTGGTGGGCTCCCGAGAAGAACGCAGAGGTTGGTGTCTTTCAAGTGACACGTCTGCATCTTGGGGCTCCCGGTTGGTAGGAGCCAGCCCATGTGTTTTGGACTCATGGAAGTTGTTCAGGAGCGAGGAGCCAACAGTATCCAGGTAAGAGCATGCAGTGCTTTGTTTGGAAGCCCAGCCTGACAGAGACTCCTGACTCTGGACTGGCTGTGGGGCACAGGCGGCTCAGGGAACAGCAGCCACAGAATGACCGTGTTCCAGCCACAGCAGCTGCTGGCCCAGGGACATTGGGGGTGACTTATATCCTCCCCAGCAGTGTTTTCACAGGCAGGCAACTCTACCAGGCTCCTTGGCTCTCACCTCCCTTCAAGAACCCGTTGGTTTCTGGGAGTGGAGGTTTCCCACTGGCTGGAGTTGTGTTCCAGTCCAGCTCAGGGTCCTGAGTAGCCATAGCTTTTGGGGAGGCTTTGAGCCATGTTCGGCTGCAGGCTCCAGCCAGGCTCTGGGGAGCCAGTAGGCTAAAGTGACTCACAGTAATCCTGTTTTTTATTTGGAATAAATGATGATGTGTTGGCAACAAGTGGTTGAGGGGCAGAGTGACAGATGACTCCTTGGGACACTGTTTGGCAGACAGTCAATAACATTATTCTGCTCTGTGCTGTTGGCCTCTGCAGTACCAGAGAAAACAGGGTTTGCTCCATGCCAGGGTGTCCTCACCCATCCTGGAGCACCTCCATCACCATCTTGAGCCACACTGACAGTCCCTCTGCAGCTGACAGTCCCTCTGCACCGTGGTGCAGCAGCAGCATCGCTCTGCCTGTGAGGGAGCAGGGCCTGGCACTCCAGAGGAAACACCTGTCCTGTACTTGGTCATGGGGCCAGGGGGATCCCAAAAGTGCTCTCAAGCTCGTGCCTCTTTAAAATTCAGCATAGCCCATTCCCTGTGCCAAAGTTAGTTTCCTCTACACTATAAGGGCCTGACAGCAGCATCCAGCATGTCACCAGGAAATTTCACCAGCCTCTGTGTTTGGTTTTGCCAATTTTTTCTTGAAAATATTAAAGAGATCCTAAAAAGATTCTCAAGTGACTGCAAATTATCTCCTTCCCCACTGGTGGTGTACTTTTGGCCAACTCCTCTTTATCCTGTTCCCTGGGCAGCCACACCTTAATGAAAAATTCCCAGTTTGCTCTGATCCAGGTGTTTCACCAAAGCATCTGGGCTGCCAGATATCATGCCTGGGAAAAGGCCATTCTGGTTTTAGGTAATTTTCCAACCAGTGCCACATCATCAGTGGGGCTGTACTGAAAAGGCATCATGGAGCCTTGTGGGTTTCTTTTGGGGGGGTTGGGAGGGGGACTTGGGGAACTGTCAGCAGTTTGGGAGTTCAGTTCCTGCAGGTGTTGCCTCAGGGGCAGGTAGTATTTACATGTCACCTGTCACTTACCTGATTTACAGGGAACATATCCAGCAGCTGCCAGGGTGTCACTTCCAAAGGGAAACGATTCCTGAGAGTTCTGGTCTTGGAGGGACCATCCAGCAGCTCCCTCAGAGAAGCTGGAGTTGCACAGTGTGAGGTCTGTGAGTGAGCAAGTGGCTGGGCTGTGAGGGAGTTCCTCCACAGCTGGGTGACTCCAGGCAGCTAGTGAGGTGCAGGGAGCTTGGAGGGGCTGCAGAGGCTGATGGAAGCTGTTCCTTGTTTCAGAATGAAACATTGGCATTTGTGGCAGGCTGTGCTGCTTCTCAGAAGTGTGATGAAAGGGCATGTCCTGCTGGGCTGGGGCTCCTGGCCTGGCTGGGTGGGGGTGCAGGGGTCAGATCTGCATTCCCTAGGGCCCTGCTGGACTTCTCCCTCTGCAGGAGGACCTTCTCCCAGGCCCTCTGTTGCTGCTCTCGCTTCTTCACCTTCCTCTGCTCCGTGCCTGTGGCCATAACCAGGGCTGGGGGTGCTTGGGGCTTGTGCTGGCAGACACTGTTTGAGCTCTGAGCATCCCATCATATCCCATCCCATCCCATCCCATCCCATTATCCCATCCCATTATCCCATTATCCCATCCCGTTCTGGCCCAGCCCAGCCCAGCAGCACTATTCCCAGGACCAAGCTCATCCCGGTCCCAGGAGAGCAGCGTTGTCCCTGCTTCAGCAGCAGCAGGCTCCCTCCCACGAGGAGGCAGAGAGGAGATGGATGCAGCAGTCAGGAGCAGAGCGCCAGCTAATTACCCTTCCGAGTGTGTCTTGTAAATTAAGGGCTAATTAGAGGCAAAGTCAGTGTCATGGTTTTACACGTGTTTCTGTGGCGCTGAGCAAGGGGAGGAGGGGGAACATGCAGCAGCCAGGCTGGAGGCAGGCGATGTGGCTCTGCAAGAAAGGTCCTGGCAGCTTGGGGTGCAGGACTCCGTGTCCCAGCAAGCTCTCCATTGGCACTGCTGGCAGGCAGGATCTGCAGGCGAGGCTCGCAGGGGATCCCTGCACAATTCTGCAGGGAAAGGGCATTTTGGTCCAGGATGAGGACGGGGAAGAGGAGCGTGGGAGGTGCCTGCCATGCTGGTGATGAAGGAGTGCTGCTGCTGCTGCTAATGACAGTAGTGGTGGTGGGGATGGTGGGTGGCAGGCATTCCTGGTGCAGGGCTGGTGGCCACATCACCCCTACTTTCAGCACTTCCCTTTAGTGGGGGGGTATTTGGCCTCTTGAGCTGTCCTGTCAGGCACTCGGTAGCCCTGGCTGCGCTTAGGCACATCTGAATAGCATCCCTTGGGTTTTCATGGAAACAGCAGGGACAGAAACATGTATTTATGTACAATCTCTGCAGCTTCTTATGGGATTTTGTGGGGCTCTGCTCTTTGTAGAGGGTGGTACAGTGCAGGGATAGGTTGCCCAGGGAGGCTATGCCATCCCCTTCCTCAGAGATGCTCTAAACTCATCAGAAACAGTCCAGGGCCACTGGCTCTGTGGGGCCCTGCTTGAACTGGGCTGTACAGGATGAAGCCAGAGCTCCTTTCCACCTCAGCCATCCTGGGGTCCATGAGAGCCAAGTGAATCTGGTTTCACACAGGAAGACAGGTGAGCTGTGCTGGGTGTAGCAGCTCCCACTGAGGACCTGCTTCTACAGGTGTTCGTTTGCTTCCATGGAAGGCTCCCACTGGTACCAGTCCCATCGGAGCAGTGTTCGGTTCCTCGCAGCCCAGCTTCATCATGACTGCAGGGCTGGAGCTGTGGATGTGCAGCATCTGGAGCTGTTCTGTGGCCCTGCCCTGGGCCATGGCCAGGTGGGCTGCAGTGGGAGTCCCAGCTCAGTGTCTGTGCCTCCGGGCAGGGAAGGAGGAGATGTAGCTTTGGAGTAGGGACCCACCTTCTCTCACCCCTGAGCTCCCAGAGTACTTGCTCTGCAGTGGCTGGAGCAGAATGGCCTGAGGGGAGCATGGGGCAGGGCTGGTGGTGGGCAGGTGCAGTGGGATCCCTCGGGCCAGTGTCCTCCTCTGTGGCAGTTTGCCTGCAGACTGAACGGGAGGGTGTGTGCTCCCTGTCATTGTTTGCTATTCTGGACATTTTGGGTATTCCTATAATCCTGAAACACTTGACCCATTTTGCATCACTGCATGATCTTGTCCTCTCTGACAGCCTCTAGTCCCAAAAGAACTCCTCTCTTGGGGGTCTTGGGCTCAGCTGCAGTAGTTTTGAGCTAGTGGGAAAAGGACCTTCCACCTGCCATCCCCACCTTACAGACATCTGTTCCCCTGCTTGTTTCTTCATGACACTGTCCATGTGATTTCAGGCTCTCTCCCAGTGCCCCCAGCATGGCTGGAGTTCCTGCCAGGGACACACAATAAAGTGAAGATGAGAGATGAAAGTGGGTGTGCTGGTTGTGGGATGGGTTTGGGTTTGCCCAGGTGCCAGAGGCTGTAGTGAAAATCATGACTGAACTCCAGCTGTGGGGAAGCTGTGTGCCGGAATCCCCAGCTGTGCATCCTGGGGTGCTACTCTGCAGCCCTCTAAGCAGCAGGTCCCTCTGGCAAGTGGGGCGTGCTGGGCTCTTCTGTCAGCACCTTTGGGGTGATACACGAGCACCCTTTGGATGAGGAGAGCCAGAGAGAGCCTGTCCTCATGTGGAGCCACCCAAGAAGTGTGACATCAGGTGCAGGACAGCTTTGCCTTCTCCCACAGTGCTTCCAGGCAGCGCTTCATTCGTCTCTCTTGCAGGTGCTCCCCACTCGACCAGCAGCACCTCCCTGCACTCTGAGCGCTCCATCAGTGGCATCAACCTTGTGGGCTTCAGCTCCAAGCCAGACGGGATGCACCAGCGCTCCTACTCTGTCTCCAGTGCAGACCAGTGGAACGAGGCTGTGGCCATCCCTGGCAGCTGCCCCAACCCCGGTGAGTAGCACTTCTGGCCCTTCTCCCCTCAGCTGCACCGGGCACGGGAACTCATTTCGGCAGTGGGGCAGTTCTGAGCTCTTGCCCGTGGCTGTGAGCCCAGAGTTTGCTCATGAGTGTCAGACACAGCCTCTGGGCCTCCCTGTGGCTGTCCCCCTTAGTGAGGGTCAGCTGGCAGTGTCCCAGCCAGGGAAGAAGCTGTCCTGCAAGGCATGGGGCAGCTCCAGCCAAGGGGCACTGCTCTGCAGCAGGATGCCTCCAGGCCCTCTGCTCTGACCTCGCTCTGAGCTCTCCGTACTGGGGTACCACTGCTTTCCCCCAGCACTGCACCTTGTTGGCACCCCCGTCCCCCAGATTTGGGGGCAGTTGAAGGAATAGAAGTGATTCCTGTCTCTGGAGCACACACTGAGCACGGCCCGCCCCCTCCCCCCACGCTCACTCACTCTCAGTGATGTTTCAGGACAGTTGAGTGAATTAAAATAATTCATACATTTCCCAACGTAGCCACTTTGCCGAATTGGAAAATAAATGCTTTTGTGCTGCATTCATCACTCCTTCGTTCCTGGCTCTGCCGCCGCACTAAAAAAGCAGTTAAATGCACATCAAGAGTGGAGGAGCCATTTCCATGCCTGCTCGCCCCTTGTAGTTCTCATTAGCGCGGCAGCCGCCCCCCCGCCCGCTCCCAGGGGCTTTCGCAGTTTAAAGGAGCCTCTTTATGATCATTACCGGAGTCCGACTGTGCGGGCGCCATTTGCAGCTGAGGAGGCTCCTCATTTGTAACTGTGAAAAACTATCAATTTCAGCGCGCCTGATGCAGCGGCTCCATCATTGGCCCCATCAGCTCCCTGCTGGAAGCGAATTAATCAGACTGTTACTGCTGATGGGGCAGCGCGGGCGAGGGGAGCGGAAGGGCGCAGCGCTGAGCGGGGATGTGCCGGCAGCCCCCTCGTCTTGGACACGGGGGCAGCAGGGCAGCCACGCCGGGGGAGCAGAGTTACAGGGGAGCACAGTGCTGGGGGGAGCAGAGTGCTGGGGGAGCAGAGTGCTGAGGGGAGCAGAGTTACAGGGGGAGCAGAGTTACAGGGGAGCAGAGTGCTGGGGGAGCAGAGTTACAGGGGAGCAGAGTGCTGAGGGGAGCAGAGTTACAGGGGGAGCAGAGTTACAGGGGAGCACAGTGCTGGGGGAGCA